CTGGGTTCGCCTGCACGAACCCAGTCCGCCTAAGGCATCAACTCGCCAGCACGAATTAAAGCAAGTTCGCCTACATGAACGCTACTTGCCTGGGTAATCAAACGATCGACAGTTCGCCTGCAAGCTCGCCATACTCGCTTGTGTACTCGACGGCCGTTACTGTCATGTACAGGGATGGGCCTTCCCATCTCCTACGATGTGAAAGGAGAGGAGTATAGTACTCCGCCTCTATTATGCAGCCGCCCACAGTACAGTTGAGAGGTATGGCATCTCTAAACAATGCATGGTCACATCCCATGATCAAAGGGAATGACCATGCTGTCTCTTCCCTATTTAAGAGCCTCCCTCGGCTACGGGAAAAGGGTTCAAGGTTCGAAGTTCATTTGCAATTCAGTTCAAGGAGGAAAGAACTCGCATTTCACTGATTTATAAGTGCGTTTCTTGGCTCGGTCGGCACTCTGCATAATTATTACATTGTAGCTCCTTCTTCCAGCTTTCGGCCCTGATAGCTATTAAGCCCGGGAATTCGAACTCGATCAGCTCGAGCTTCTATCGCGTACTGAAGCTCGCCTGCGACTTCGTTCGAATCATCCAAGGGAGGTAAATTCAGCACAAGCACCGAAGGAGGCATCCTATCACTACCAAAGAACCCACGTTAAACAAGAAGGGCATTCCCTCCGCTTCTGTTGTAACTTTGATTCATTAGTTTGTAATAAGCTATTCTTATCAATACAAACGAATTCCCCTTTTTTTGGGAAAATCAAACTTTACACCCTACAGAGGTTTCTTAATCATTATTTTTTTATCATGATTAAGAATGAATTATTCAGATGATCAACGTACATTCTGAATAGACAGCTAGTCCTGGGTTATCCTTAAGAACACTATAAACAATGTTCTCCAGGAACTACCAATCCAATAGGTTATCCCAAGCGTACTAAGGATAGTACTTCTTCAGGAACTTCCCATTTATCGGCATCATAAGTTTGTCATCATTTTGAGTGACAAGGCAATATGCGCCATTTGAATAAACCGTCTCTACCACAAATGGTCCTTCTCATTTGGGTTAGAATTTCCCCTTCCTCTTGGAATTGAGGATCATCGGTCATCGAGCGGCAAGGACCAAGTGACCTTGTTTAAAGATCCGTTGTCGGACCTTCTTATCAAAAGCCCTGGAGATTTTGGCTTAGTAGAATTGAATCTGCTGTTGCGCCTTTAAGCGCTTCTTATCTAACATCTCGAGCTCTTCAAGACTTTTTTGATGTTGCTCATCGGTCGTCATCTCTGTTGCAAGAGCAATACATAGGGATAGAATCTAAATTTCCAACGGGAGGACGGCTTCGCATCCGTATACGAGGGAATACGGGGTCGCACCAGTAGGTGTATGGACTGTAGCGCGGTAGGCCCAAAGAGCTTCGCCAAGCTTATCATCCCAGTCTCGTTTGTTAGTCTTCATGAGCTTTGACAAAATTTTTATGATTGTCTTGTTAAAGGCCTCCCTGGTGTCTTTGGAAAAACGTAACAACTCATATAGAGTTATTCTCGCTGGGATGATAGCCAGCTGTGCCATAATGTCGAAGCGGTAGGGAGCATTTGAATTCTCCGGCATGTCTCCTCCAATCGAACAATTGAAACGAGACTGTTTTAGGTTTTGAACTTCTTGATGCACGAGCCCTTTGTCCTTTTGTTTGGCCGCCACCTCCTTCTGCTTAGCGGCAGATTGTTGCCGAGATGTTCCTTCAGATGGATTGGGAGCGGTCGTAACTACCCTCTGTGTGGCCGGCTGATCAACCACCTTGGAATAGTCAAACTTGTATTCATTTCCACTTCTAGTGGCAAAAGCTGGTTCGTTGTTAGCGACAAAAACCTCCTATTCACCATCGGAAAGTGGGAAAGTAAGGATACCTTCGCCATTCTCTTCTGGAATTGCGGTGGTGGCGCAACAAGCTTTGCCCTTGCCTTTGGACTTGGATTTCTTCTTGGAGGAGGATCCCATCCATTGTTCATCTTGCAGTAAATCGGGATGAACCCAGAGGATTTTGCCGTTTGGGGCCGTATGCGGCACTAATCCCTTCTGGCGCTGTCCGTGAGGATCTTCATTAACTGTCATTATCTCTACCTTTGTCACCGGCTCTGGTTGAAACCATGTG